CTGTAGCCTGGTTCACAGCATACAAGTCCTGCACCAGCCTATATTCTCCAGACGGCTTCCGTAATGGCAGGAGTGGAGTGTTCCAGGGTGACTGGCATTTGACTACAAACATGAGTCCATGTTTGTAGAGTCGCTCACTCTGTGAACGCCTCATAAGGCTTCTGGGAAAAGCAGGTACCGGCAAACCGAACTGTGGTTGCCCCTGGTTTTAGCTTTACTACCAGTGGCACCTAATCTTTAGCCAGCCCAGGTGGGTTATCTTCAGCCCATACTCCAGGAATTTTATTAAGTAGCCTCTGTAATTCAAGTATTCCTGGTTCGTGAGACAGTTTTGGTGGCTTTTTTGTGTATAGCCTCCATTCCTCAGTTTGCTGGACAGTAAGGGTTAACACCATGGCCTTTGGGTGAGTCAGGTTTAGAGTTATATCCCCTTGCGGCCCAAAAGCAATCTGTGCTTGCAGTCTTCGGAGTAGGTCTCTCCCCAGGAGGGGAACTGGGCAATTTGGGAGGTATAGGAATTCATGTTGGACCTCTGGTCCTCCTATAACAAACCTCCTTGGCTGACAAAATGGCCTCTTTTCTGAGACCCTGGTGGCCCCAAAAATAGTTGTATAGTGTTTGGATAGTGGTCCTATGGGTAGGGTTACTACCAAGTGTTCAGCCCCAGTGTCCACCATAAAGTCCATTAGCTGGCCCCCCACTTCTAATGTGACCATGGGCTCCTGGGGGCCTAAGGAGAAGGAGCCCAGTCTGTCCTTGTCCTTGTATTCTTCAGTCCCTGCCAGCCCAATCAGGTCAGCATCTGGTTCCTTCAGGGTGCAGCAGCCTTTGACAAGTGGATTTTTTGTTTCGCAGCCTCGGCCATTTTCTTCACTGCCGTCTGGATACTGATTTTTCCAGTGTCCCCTTTTGCATCATGCACATTGGTCCTTATCTAGCTCAGCGAGGTTTCGAGCCTCTGTCCAGTTTGGCCCCATTTGCATCTGCGCCCGTGTCCATGTCTGTGCCCCCTCGCAATGCTAGTTTCCGTGAGGACCACTGCTAACGTATCAGCCTTTTTCCTAAGCGTCTGCTCTGCTTCCTTTTTTGCCTCTTGGTCATGGTTAACGTACACCTTGGTGGCCACTCCTATAAGTTGGGTGGCATTCATGCCTGCAAAACTATCTACCTTTTGCATCTTGCACTTGATGTCACCCTGGGCTTGTCCTACAAATACCGTGTTCACCATGCACTGATTTTCAGTGGCCTCAGGGTCAAACGGAGTGTAAAGCTGGAATGCCTCACCGAGTCTCTCATAAAACTGGCTAGGGCTCTCATCAGCTCCTTGAAGTACTTCTGAGATATTTCCTATATTGATTGCCTTTTTCCTGCCTTCCTTTAGCCTCTGCAAGAGTGCTTCTCAGTACTTCTGTAGGTACTGTAATTGGCCTGCATCATTTGAATCCCAGTGGGGGTCTGCTTCTGGGAACTGGTCCTGAGTGCATGCCTGAACATTAAGTGTGCCTTCAGGTGCATTTGCTTCCAGCCAGCAGAGAGCTGCCTGGGTTACCCTCCAGCGCTCCTCAGTGTTAAATAGCGTCAAGAGGAGCTGCCTACAGTCTGGCCAAGTTGGATTGTGTGTCTGGAAGATGGACTGCATTAGATCTATGAGGGCCTGAGTGTTCTCCATGTAGGAGGGCTTATGGTGTTTCCAGTTTAGGAGATCAGTGGTTGTAAAAGGCTGGTAGATGAAGGTCCATTGCCCCCCTTGGACTTGACCTGGTTTGTCATAATAGATGGGTCCCCATGTCTCCCTGAGAGGCATTTGCATAGCCCAAGCGTGACCAGATCGGAGGCAGCCTGCTTGATCATCTTGTCTTTCTTCCCTGACCTTCTGGGGCTCCGATCTTTCCTTCTGGGGTGAGTCTCGGAGCATGTTACCATCTGAATCTGACTCCTTGGGGGCCGTTGGCCTCGGTAAATGGGGGTAGAGTGGAATATATGGAAGAGGAATTTCTATCTCCTCTGGCAGTTCCTGCAAAACTGGTTTCTCTTGCCCTTCCCATGACTTTTCCTTTGTCTCCATATTTGCCAGCGAAGCTGAGATTTTACTTTCACTTTAGGCTCGGTCTGAGCCACAAGCATTTTGCAGTAAGCTGCCAGGCAGGGCTGCAACCATGCAGGTCGAGTTTGAACTATATTTAGCCATGAGTCAATATAAGGGAATTGGTCTGGGTGCCCTGGCTGTCATTCGACCCCAGTCACCACCTTAAATACATGGCCAATTGTTTCCCTATCTATAGTTCCTTCCGCTGGCCATCTGACACTGAAAGAAGGCCATTCTGTTTCACAGAGAGTTCTCAACCTCCGAGGGGTCAACTTCATCCCATAATCCCCTGCATAACCTTTCTTAAAACTTTTTAATGTACAGTGTAATGGGGTGGGTTTTGACAACTTCCCTCCTATTTCCTACCAGTTACAGCACAACACACTCTTTTGCTTCAGACCGATTAGACTGTCCCCCTCGCAGGAGTATTTCAGACGCCACTTAGCACTGGAGGCTCCATTTTGACCCCCACAAATACTAAATTGTGGGGCACCTCCCTAAGCCATATGCGGATCACCTCTAGTCCTGGTCGGTCCCACAGTTTGCTCAGAGTGTACGGTCTGTGCGAAGAGACCTGCAGCCCCCACATGTCACTCCCCATGTTGGTTCCTCCTGGAACTGCCTCTTTCACACACACTCACACACTTCCCTGCTCCCAGTTCCCCTTTCTCAACCGACTCTGCGAGCCACTTTCGTGCCCTGGGTCGGTTGGGGTGTGAGTTTCCCTGACTTTGCAAGCCACTCTCACGTCCTGTGTCAGACTACTAGTTACTCCCCAGGAGGTGATCAAGCTCCCCTTCCATTCTTATGGGACAGGTCCTGCCTTGGGCCCAAACCTTACCGTGATCCTGTAATGCACTGTTCCTGGAATCGTCCTGTACCCCCTTAGGTTCCATTGTGCTGTCAGTTAGGGTCGTGGGAGAGCCGATCACCCCTCCAGATTGAAGTTCTCCCAGTGGTGCCTGGGGGCATGGGTCTCCCCCAGCCTGGGACTCCAGTCCCACAGGCAAAGAGACAGTAAACCTGTCATCTCCAATCCTGGGCGAGCCCCCAGAAAATGTTTTGGGAATCAGAGGACTGGAGAGACCAATAGGTGGAACAGAAGGATTTTATTTAAGTGGCCACTGGCCCAACGGATTCACATCCAAAGGGTAGGCCCCGAACAAAGACAGGGCTTAACTTTTATACACACTTCTGAAAGGGGGTTGGCTAGTTTAAATGGCACAGCGGGAATCTAATGGCGTGAAACTCCATTAGTGCAGGCAAGCAGGCTTACAGAAGCAGAACAAAGGCAGTTAATCAAACAGTGACAGGTTTCGTAATCCTTAGCATAGCTTGTGACCTTGCAGCTGCTTTGAAGGAAAAACAGGAACTTACAAAACTTGGAAATTGAGTAATGGTAAGGGGGATGAGGAGATAGTAAAGGAATTTGATTTTCTTAACCTTGCTCTGAGGGGGTGTTGGGAGAGTCTCTGGAGCTCCTTCCTTTGGGCTCTGGCTTTCCAGATAGTTTTATCAAGGCTTTGCCAGGGCCCTGCCTATTGCTGGCCTTGGAGTGAATCAGCTAAGTACAGGAAAACTTGTTTTTCTCTTTTTAATTTCTGCTTCAGCCTCGTTTGTGATTCCTTCACCCAGCGTTCCTATAATCAACCAGGGTTGTTCTTGGAGACTTGGCTTTGATGATATGTTTTCTGGCCAGGCACAGTGGGTCAAGCCTTTAATCCCAGGACTTTGGGAGGCTGAGGTGGGCTGATCACTTGAGGTCAGGAGTTCGAAACCAGCCTGACCAACAGGGCAAAACCCCATCTCTACTAAAAATACAAAAATTAGCCAGGTATGGTGGGGCATTCCTGCAATTCCAGCTACTTGGGAGGCTCAGGCAGGAGAATCATTTGAACCCAGGAGGCACAGGTTGCAGTGAGCTGAGATCGGAACAAGACTCCATCTCAAAACAAAAAAACAAAATATGTTTTCTTCTATGGAGACTTATCCTCTAAGTTGTAATTAGTCAGTATCTTAACAGCCAGCTAAGCACCGGAACATGTTTTGGCAATGATATGGCAGACTAGATTTGGATTAAAGTCTTGGTGTGCTGCTTGGTATTAGCTGTGTGACTTTTTTCAAATTATCTATGTTTTCAAACTTTTAGTTTCCTAATTTACAAAACAAAGGTAATACCTACTGCATAAGGCTCAATGACATAATAATATGTAAAATGCCTGGCAGGGCTCATTAAGATCTAAAACTTATTAAGTGTTATTAATATCAACTATTTTCATTATTAACAATTTGTTTATTTTGAGTACACCCACTGAGCCAGACTACTTGTTCAAATCCCAGCTCCATGCCTTACTGTCTTTCTTAATCGCCAGTTACTAAATTTTCTGTGCTTTATTTTAGTTTTCTTATCTATAAAATACAAATAATCTGTGCTTTATTATATTGTTAAGAATAAATTAGTGAATACATGTGAAGCACTTAAAGCAGTATCTGGCATTTAATAACTGCTCAATAAGTGTTAGCAATTATTATTCTACCATCACTTTATTTTTAGGAGGTCTCAAAAGGGTAGTTCTCTGTGAAAGATAATTGTGAAGGACTTAGAAGGATACCAAAGACACATTTTACCTACTTCCCAACATGGCCTAGGTCCAATACTAGTACAATCTACTTACAAAATCTAGGTGGCAATCCCTCTCCCAAGGTTCTTTCCTAATAAGGTTCTTTTAAAAAAGTTGTTTACACAAATTCTGAAAGTCTGCCCACCCCCCACCCCTCATTCCCTTATGTAAATCTTAATTGATTGATCTGTGGCAGAGTTCTGTTTTTCTGTAAAAGTTTTATAAGATAGAGATTTATAATTTGTTTTTCAGAAGAAGATTGTTACTAAATTGGTTTAATTTCTTTTTTCTAGCAACCCCCTCCACGTTTGATAAACTTTCAGAATCACAGCCCCAAACCCAATGGACCAGTTCTTCCTCCTCATCCTCAACAACTGAGGTATCCACCAAACCAGAATATACCACGACAAGCAATAAAGCCCAATCCCCTACAGATGGCTTTCTTGGCTCAACAAGCCATAAAACAGGTATAGATCTACCTTCCTTTCTCACTTGCTTATTCTGCTGCTTTCTACTTCCAGATCACAATGAATTTATAGATTAAGCAACAGCAAATAGCCAAGAGCAAGCTTTCTTTTTCATTTTTTAAATAATGTGAATTGCAAAGTTTGATGCTTTTTATCAATAAGAAAAATTAAACCACTTATGTAGAAGTGAAGGCCCAATATAATCAATGACCATAGGTATTAATTTTTATAATATGGTATGGATAACTTTTAGGTGAGTATATTAAATTTCCTAACATAAAAGTATTCTAACAAATACAAGTTACATTCCACAAAATAGAACAATAAATCAATATTCAAAGTGTCCCAAGAAGATTTCTTGGAAACAAAATTATGGCACAGTTTCAAGAAGGAATACATATATATCTGATGAAGTTTATTATTTAATGTATTTAATATGATACAGCTTATTTATTTATTTTCATTTTTTTTTTTTTTTGAGATGGAGTCTCACTCTGTCGCCTGGGCTGGAGTACAGTGGCCGGATCTCAGCTCACTGCAAGCTCCGCCTCCCGGGTTTACGTCATTCTCCTGCCTCAGCCTCCCGAGTAGCTGGGACTATAGGCGCCCGCCACCTCGCCCGGCTAGTTTTTTGTATTTTTGTAGTAGAGACGGGGTTTCACCGTGTTAGCCAGGATGGTCTCGATCTCCTGGCCTCGTGATCCGCCCGTCTCGGCCTCCCAAAGTGCTGGGATTACAGGCTTGAGCCACCGCGCCCGGCCTATTTTCATTTTTTTTTTTTTTTGAGACAGAGTCTCTCTCTGTTGCCCAGGCTGGAGTGCAGTGGCACAGTCTTGGCTCACTGCAAGCTCCGCCTCCTGGGTTCACGCCATTCTCCTGCCTCAGCCTCCCCAGTAGCTGAGACTACAGGTACTCGCCACCATGCCCGGCTAACTTTTTTTGTATTTTTAGTAGAGACAGGGTTTCACCGTGTTAGCCAGGATGGTCTCAATCTCCTAAACTCGTGAGCCACCATGCCTGGCCTCTTTTTTTTTTTTTAAACGGAGTCTTGCTCTGTTACTCAGGCTAGAGTACAGGGGCATGATCTCAGCTCACTGCAACCTCTGCCTCCCGGGTTCAAGCAATTTTCTTGCCTCAGCCTCCAGAGTAGCTGGGATTACAAGTGCCCACTACCATGCTTGGCTAATTTTTGTATTTTTAGTAGAGACAGGGTTTCACCATGTTGGCCAGGCTGATCTCGAACTTCTGGCCTCAGGTGATATGCCCACCTCAGCCTCCCAAAGTGCTGGGATTACAGGTGTGGGCCTGTAATCCCACCTGTAATACCTGGCTGTATTATTTATATTCTTAATGTCTTCAGGTAAAAATATTTTCTGTGTTTTACATTATCCTAAAGTGAAAGTTATCACAGTGTTTCTTCTCAAAGCTCCTGTGACAACAGCCTGTCTAGCTGATTGTAGACTGATTTTGGTTTAATTTTTTTCTCCAAGACCAAAATAAAAGATGATGCAATTTTCATAATTCTGTAACATTCATTTTAATAAAATCATTTTAATATTCTAAAAGTATTCACATTCTGTGTCTATACATATGTTTGTATAATCAATTTGGCTTTGCTATATCATCACCAAATTCTCTTAAACAATATTTTAATTATTTAAAATAAAATTCATACCAATTATTTCATCATTTGAAGGAAAGTAAAAAGCTTCAGTTTGGCCTTAAATTCTGCTTATTTACCTAATAATTTTGTGGCACTTAGTCTTTTCACATCTCACTTGCCTCAGCTATAAAATGAGTATCTTGCAGAGTTAATGTTGAGAGTTTATTCTAAAGTATACACAAGCACCTAGCACATGCTCAGTACTCACATGTTTACCTCTTCCCTATTTATTATATTTTAATGAGTAGGCACTCTAAATATGTTTTTTAAAAATGGTTGTTGACCAAAATTGTAAACATGAATGAATAAGTGAACAAGCCAGGAAAAAATCTAGTGGGAAATTGATTTTAAGTAGTAGATGAGTTTAAGAAATTAACATGTACTCATACAGTGGAATACTTTTCAGATATTAAGAAAATGCAATAATCTAGATATGATTTTCTGAGTATGTGAGGAAAAACATGTTATAGAATTTTTGTGAGGTGTTACCTCATTTGTGTGTGTGTTTTCCTCCAGCCTCATCATGTACATAGAAAAAAACCTGAAACGATCCACCAACTAACTGATTGTTCTTGGTAGAGGAGGAGGAAAGGGGGCATAGGGGTAGGGAATATGAGGGAGGAGTAGGTGGTAAAGAGGACATTCATGTCCAGCTATGTTTCTATATGTAGTTTTTACAGTGGAATATATAAATTAGGTTTTTCACAATTAAAATGTTTCAGACACTGTCTCTCTATATAGTGTTGTTCATTTATGAATGACCATGTTTGGAAAATACAGCATCTTGCAATATTCTTATTTTTCTTCTCCCAGCATGAAAATTTTCAAACATAATACAAATTGAAAGAATTATATAGGGAACATTTTGTTCTGCTTGCCTTATTACGTATTTATTCCTTTGTCCATTCATCAAGTCATCCTTTTTTTTTTTTTTTGAGGCGGAATCTCGCTCTCTGTAGCCCAGGCTGGAGTGCACTGGTGTGGGGTCTTGGCTTACTGCAACCTCTGCCTCCTGGGTTCCAGTGATTCTCCTGCCACAGCCTCCCAAGTAGCTGGGATTACAGGTGCCCACCACCACGCCCAGTTAATTTTTGTGTTTTTAGTAGAGATGGAGTTTCACCATGTTGGCCAGGCTGGTGTTGAACTCCTGACCTTAAGTGATCCACCCATCTCGGGCTCCCAAAGTGCTGGGATTACAGGCATGAGCCGCCATGCCCAGCCTATCATATTTTTCAATAGGTTTTGAGTAAATTGCAGACAGCAGCATGCTTCACTTCTATATACTTCAGCAAGCCTGTCATCATCTTAATGTGTTTATCTCAGCAGGAATGATAGTACTTTCCTCGGATATTTATCGAGGCCTAATTAATCTCTTTATATAGAGAAAGAGGAATATAAAATCCCGAAAGCACCAGTCTGTAGCTTATTGTTTTCAGGTGTTTCAGATAGGGATAGAAGAAATGTATGTTTTCAACCCTCCATCTTTAACTTGAAGTTGCTATGTATATATTTACTTTTTTTTTTTTTTTCCAGTACGTATAAACCTGCCAAGATTGGGTACTGTGATTTTCTGGTATATACTAACTGTTGTCTTCCAGTAAAAATCAGTGCTTTTTACTGTGTGTTTTTTTTTTTTTTTGACAAGATTAATGAAAATTATATATACTTGTACAGTCTTTCCCTGTCCCATTCTCCTTCCATGTAAATTACAGTTGAACTCTTCTACTTCATTTTGTGTGAGTGATTAGATAGACTTTGTATTTTATAAGCTTGTTGATAGCCTTTGTTCTTCCCTTCTTGTTACTGTAGTGGCAGATCAGCAGTGGACAGGGAACCCCATCAACTACCAACAGCACATCCTCTACTCCTTCCAGTCCCACGATTACTAGTGCAGCAGGATACGATGGAAAGGCTTTTGGTTCACCTATGATCGATTTGAGCTCACCAGTGGGAGGGTCTTATAATCTTCCCTCTCTTCCAGATGTAAGTAGACACAAAATTTATACTAGCATCTGTTGAAAATTGTCCACCGGGTACAGTGGCTCACTCCTGTAATCCCAGCACTTTGGGAGGCTGAGGCAGATGGATCACTTGACGTCAGGAGTTTGAGACCAGCCTGGCCAACATGGTGAAATCCTGTCTCTACCAAAAAATACAGAAATTAACCAGGCATGGTAGCACACGCCTGTAATCCCAGCTACTTGTGAGGCGGAGGCTGTGGTGAGCCGAGATCATGCCACTGCACTCCAGCCTAACAGAGCGAGACCCTGTCTCAAGAATGAAAGAAAATTGTCAGTGAATTTGGATCTGGTAGAAGGCATGAATTTGTTGGATTATAGGTTGTTTGTTTTTACAAGTTAATTTTAATCCTTTAGAATATTACAACGGTCGTAAAAGTAAAAAGATTATGAACATTGGACACATAACCTAATGACTTTCAAGCCACCAGAGTTAAAGGTGTTTGTAAATGAGTGATTATGGTGAGGGATCATGGAATCTAAGCTGGGAAAGGAGAAAAGTAAGGACATGGAAAGATATGCTGGGAAGTTGAATGGCTGGACATCAGAAGAGATGAAGACAAGTTTAATAAGAGAAATCCTGTTAGATCATACTGACAAGTGCAAAATTACCTCTGGTTTATATTACATGTGAATTAACTCACTCTCCAAACTCTTTGTCGGTATGACTTTTTGTTATTTATTATATTTTTTAATGATTTTTATTTTTAATAGAGATGGGGGAGACTCCCTATGTTACCCAGGCTGGTCTTGAACTCCTGGGCTGAAGGGATCCTCCCGCCTGGGCCTCCTAAAGTGCTGGGATTACAGGCATGAGCCACCACACCCAGTCAGTTTGACTATTCCAAAGGGAGAAATTCTACATTCTGTAGACATATCTTTATATATAAGTTGATTCTGTGTTTGATCCTTTTTTTAATCTAAGGTTAGATAACCCACTGTCGTGCACATACACATATGCAACCTAATGTTAAGAAGCTTTTAGGAAATATCGTGTACTCTGTACTTGGATTGAATTACCTATAAGATTGTGAAAAGAACTTTTTTATTTTCATTATTTAATTTGTTTTTCAAGTTGAGATCAATTAATATTTCCTAATAGTTGCATTGTTAATCTTACCAGAGTCATTCCATTTTTAAAATAGTTTTGTATACTTTAAATGAGTAGGATACATATATTTTTTCATGTATGGATGGTTCATAGGAAACCTTATATCTAATCCCCATAGTTTTATTTGGTTTTTAGGATTATCCCACAACATAAACAACTTTCCTTGTATTAAGTTCTCACGAATTTAGTAATTCTAGTACTTTTTGTACTCTCTGAAAAATATTGGCCAAGTATTGCCAAAAGAATATTAAAACAAAAATGACCCTGTGTATTAACCACCCAGCCCGATTTCCCCCGCCCCCGAACCCACAGGAAGTAAAATTCTTTCTGCTTTTTCCTCTGCAGATCTCATACAGGTGAACCTTTTTCCACCAGCCTTTCTTACCTGAAATTCCTCTTATGAATTACAGAATAAACTAAAATGAGTGACTGTTTTCTCATTTCTCCCAAAGGTGCTTCATAACTAGTACCATTCTAGGTGCATAAGCAAGAAATTGATTAATTATATACAAACTGTGCCCTATGGCTGTAGGACTTAATTATCTTATAGAATCCTGGATGAACAAGAGTAGAACTATGTTAAAGAATTGAACTGGATTTTAAGCCCAAAGACATTGGTGGGAAATTTGGTATATGTAGGCATGAAGGAATTTTTGTGCCTAAAGCAGTAAACTCTTACTCATTAGGGATTTATAAGTATTTTTGCCTGGCAGTGGATAAGGAAAACAGTGTTATTTGTATTCCTGTTATATTAAAGCAAGAATCTTTAGGGTTCATCTTTTCTCCTACAAAACAAGAGTAATGTATTCAGTGAGGTCAGTGCTATAGATATATGGACTTCATCTATCTAGCACATACCCAGAGTATCAGTTGCTAAAGTATCCCTTTCAGAGGGTCCACTAGGTCCTATCTATGTGAGGCTAGATTTTCTTCATATTTTTCAAGCAAAACTATACACCACAATAGATTGAATGCTGTTTAGGGAGACATTAAAGAGATTTGCAAGAAATGTAAAATTGTGATAGTCTTCTCACCAAGTTTATGTTTTTCATATGGCAACCTTGTCGTTTCTTTATAAATTAAGAATTTTTTTTTCAATTTTTAAGAGTGTGAATGACATGATACTCCTTTTGACTCTTGTTTCTGAAATACTGTCCTTAATATTTTACTAAAGTGAAACACTAAGATAGTGAAAATCTTTATTCAAGGTTGTTTATGGGGAAAATATCTGTTAGAACTTCTCAAATGTGGTATCTATGTTTTGTTATTTGATAATAATTAAGTTATTGAAGCTTTCTTATAAATTTAAAAGTAGCTTTTAACTTGCAAAGTCAGAATGCCCTGAAATAATTTCTTTTCTTGTAAGATTGACTGTTCGAGTACTATTATGCTGGACAATATTGTGAGGAAAGATACTAATATAGATCATGGCCAGCCAAGACCACCCTCAAACAGAACGGTCCAGTCACCAAATTCATCAGTGCCATCTCCAGGCCTTGCAGGTAAAGTGGGCTTCTTTTGATTTTTGTGAAAGTTTTTCTAGTTTTCACTTAACTTGGAATAAAAAATTACCCCTCTTCCCTTTCTTTTTTGTTGAATGCTTAATCTGAGTTTTTCACTATGTAAAATTAGTATGCTTTCAAAGAAAACAAAGGTTAAATTTCTTTATCCTTTCTTTCGGGTCACAGTCTCACTCTGTTGCCCAGGCTAGAGTGCAGTGGTGCAATCATAGCTCACTGCAGACTTACTCCTGAGCTCTAGCGATCTCCCACTTCAGCCTCCTGAGTAGTTGGGACTGTAAGTGTGCTGCTCTACCAAGCGTGGCTAATGTTTTTTGTTTTTTGGTAGAAACAGTCTTGAACTTCTGGCCTTATGTGATCCTTCTGCCTTAGCCTCCCAAAGCTTTGGGATTACAGGCATGAGCCATCATACCAGGCCTTCTTTACCTTTTCAATTTCAACAGAACTTCCCACCATTATAGTACTTCCAGGGGGAAATTGGTGTTATCTTCTCTCTTATTGATAAGTTGCGTGTAATGTGATCTTTAAGATGTAATTTGCCTAGGGTCAAAATGTATTAGTGACAATAAGTAGAAATATCACTCTTTTGGTGATTTGTTTGGTGTTTAATTGTGTTTGTGAATCTTAACATACCTACTCATTTCCTCTGAGAGGAAAACTCTAATATTACTTCTGAGGACATAGGTACCTTAAACCAAAATATGAAAAGAGTCACTCACCAGTCACATGAACACAATTTAAATGGGGATGCCTATTTTAAACAAACTTTTGACAAAATATGGCAGAAAAACTGTTTATCATATGACAGGTTTATACAAATAAGGAACATATGTAGTATTGCCAAAGGACATGATGAAGCAGATAATTCCCTAAAGAGGAAATACATTTATCCAATATAGCAGATGAGACAAAAATGTCATTCTTACTAGTGGTCATAAGAAAAATCAAAACAAGATAGAATTTCTAAGTTACTGAATTAGCTAAGATTTAAATAATAAAAATAGTCATTGAGAATGTGAGAGGTACTCTCATACATAGGTGGAAGGGGTATGAGTTGGCAAAACATTCCTGGAAATCATCATAGCAATATTACTAAAGTTTACATTTATCTAATACTGTACTGTGGGCCAGACTGTGGGCAAAGTACCTTATATGTATTACCTAGTAGGATATTTGCTTCAAGGGGCTTGGGAAATGTATGTACCCTTGAACCCAGTAATTTCCATTTTAATACCCCAATTATAAGGAAATAATTAGGAATTGGATAGGCAGAACATATTTATTAATATTTATATTACTATTTATTAAAGCATTATTTGCAGTAGTTAAAATTTTGAAGCAGTGCCCAAATATAAGAGAATAAAAATAAATTAGAATGTACTTACTTGTAAACAGAATATTATTTAGCTATTCAAACAATGCTCATATAGAGTTTTTAATGGCATGCTCATGGAATACTGTTTAGTGAAAACAAGTATACAGAATCATATAAAAGATGTAAAAGTATGTTTAAAACTGGAAAGAGATATATCAACCTTAGCAGTGTTTATATATGGATGGAGAAGTTATGGGCTACTTAAATGTTATATCTTTTTATAGTTTTCAACTATTCTAAAATGAAGCATGTATTCTTATATTATCAGAAGATTATAAATAGTCATTGTTTTGATTGATTTTGAGGCAGGGTGTTATTCTGTTGCTCAGGGTGTAGCAATCATGGCTCACTGCAGCCTCAAATGCTTGTGCTGTAGCGATCCTCCTGCTTTAGCCTTCCCAGTAGTGGGGACTACAGGTAGGTGCCACCAAGCCTGGCTAATTTTGTGGTGGTTGTTGTTTGGTTTTGTTGTTGTTGTTAGAGATGGGTCTTTGTTGCCCAGGCCTTTTATTTTTAAATGAAATTCTCCAGAGTTTACAAACCAATGAAATGGATTTTTTCCTCTCCATTTTATCAGCCATATCCTGTTGTTCATCAAACCTTTTAGAACTTGTCACTTCGGGCCGGGCGCGGTGGCTCAAGCCTGTAATCCCAGCACTTTGGGAGGCCGAGACGGGCGGATCACGAGGTCAGGAGATCGAGAGACGATCCCGGCTAACACGGTGAAACCCCGCCTCTACTAAAAAATACAAAAAAAATAGCCGGGCGAGGTGGTGGGCGCCTGTAGTCCCAGCTACTCGGGAGGCTGAGGCAGGAGAATGGCGTAAACCCGGGAGGCGGAGCTTGCAGTGAGCTGAGATCCGGCCACTGCACTCCAGCCTGGGTGACAGAGCAAGACTCCGTCTCAAAAAAAAAAAAAAAAAAAAGAAAAGAACTTGTCACTTCGAAATTGTTTTCTGCTTCCCACTTGGATTGTATTCCTACTGTTACTGTTTAGTTTGGGCCTTCATCAGTTCAAATCAAAATTATTTACAGCAGTTTTCCTTCTTTCTTGGCTGCTTTTAATTAGATCTTCCTTGTTACTGTCTACACTACCACCAGAGCATAGCTTCTTAATCTTTTTAGGGCAGTAGTCCAGAATCCCTCTTTTGCTTATTGCCTCAAGTCTGAACCCATTGATCTGACTTTGTGCCTTCCATTAGTTGGTCTCATTTTGTTTACTTGGTTTTCTTTTTTGAACTCCTTTTCTATCAGCCCATACCACCTTTCATTGTCTTCTGTAGCTTCCGCTGGCACTAGGGTCTCACTGAGATCTTACCCCTGTTACTGTAACACAGAAAGACTTGGCAATGTTTGGAGATGTTTTTGATTGTCACACCCCAAGCTGGGAAGTATAGAGAGATGCCACTGGTATCTAATAATTGGTGGAGACCAGGGATGTTGCTAAACATCCTAAAATGCAGAGACATTCCTCCACAACAAGGAGAATTATCTGGCCCAAAAGTCAATAGTGCAGAGGTTGAAAAACCCTTCCAGTGTAACAGGCTGTAACCGACTGCTGAAAATTCAGCAGCTACTTACTGTTTCATATAATTTAATCATGGTTCCCAGTTTCAATGTAGTGCTAAGTGAACACATTCAATAGGACTTCAATGCATAATTATTCATTCGTTTTATGAATGTATGATTTCCCCCTCCTCAGGACCTGTTACTATGACTAGTGTACACCCCCCAATACGTTCACCTAGTGCCTCCAGCGTTGGAAGCCGAGGAAGGTAAACTGACTAAACCATATTTTCTAGTACATAAAATCTCTAATTAGATTTCTCTTGCCAGTGTTCAACATGTTTTGATACTCAATATATTTTGAACAATTTCCTTTATCTTTAATTAAAATCTTAATAAATTAGTTAAGGGATTAACAAAAGTACAAATTTACCTTTGAAGATAGAAGAATATTTGTCTATATGTTGAAAATAAGAAATGTTTGATATTCATATAATAGCAAAGAAAACATAAAAATGAATAGGTATAACACAGTATACTATATAGAAACACAAACTTAGGGAAAAGATAAAATTTTATGCTAATTTGATCTCTAATGACTAAATATTGATTCTACTTTAAAATAAATGAATATACAGTTATTGAAATTCTATTTTAAGCAACTGCCCTCCTCTTCCCTGCATTATGCCTGAAAATTCCTCCTAGTGAACCCAGTTCTTACTTTCTTAATCATATGGAAGAATTGTCTGAAGGAGAAAAGTTTGCCTTTAATCCCATGAGAACATAGTAAATATCTGTAAAAGGTTTTTGTCCCACTACCTTCTTTAAATAGCATTGTTTAAATAAATGATTATTTCATTGTCTTCACCAAAGTATTACTTTGCTACTGACTGGAGAAGGAAATGAGAAAGTCTAAAATCAGATGCCAGTTCTAAGATACTAAATCTGGTTGCCTAATTGTAAAGCCTCAGGTTTTTAAAAGTTTCGGTTTATTGAAACATCTTTCCAGATATATAACTATTTAGATAGGTTAATATGTAAAACATTTTTATCATAAATGAAACTTGCATATAGCAGTTTCGTTAGGCATCATTAATTGCCGATGTAACATACTTACTGTTGTGAGGATACAGTATTATTTTAGAAAGTTGTTGTTATACTTTTTATGAGGTATTCAGCTTCACATTCTTAGATTGCTTTTTCTTCTCTCTCATACTTACAGCTCTGGCTCTTCCAGCAAACCAGCAGGAGCTGACTCTACACACAAAGTCCCAGTGGTCATGTTGGAGCCAATTCGAATAAAACAAGAAAACAGTGGACCACCAGAAAATTATGATTTCCCTGTTGTTATAGTGAAGCAAGAGTCAGATGAAGAATCTAGGCCTCAAAATGTAATTATGAATACTTGCAATATTATTCCTATGCATGGTGGGTAGGGTGAGAGAAACTCTTAAATAGCTCTTAGGAGTTTTTTCTTTAATGTTATATTTAAAGGGATTTAAAGACAATTTGAGGGAATCTCTCAGTAAATTAAACAAAAAGTCAAAGATGGAAAAACAGGAAAGTTTTAAAAAATCAGAGGCTCAAATATGGAGACTGGGCAGCTAAAAAGAGATATTCTCTAACCAGAGTTTTATACCCAGGCAAATTATCAGACATGAAGATTAAACATTTTTGTGCAAGTTCTCAAAATAATTCTTAAGTACTTATTCTCAGGAAGATATTTGATAATATGTATCATCAAAAATATAGTAAAAAAAGAAAGAAGAAGATACAGGATTCCAAAAATGGAATCTGACACAGAAGAAAAAGGCAACCCACAGTACAGCAGCAGCAGCTTGTGCAGTAGTCTCTAGCAGGAAGACATAGGACTCCAAAGGGAGAAAAATGCTTCAACAGTATTGAGAATCTCCTGCTGGAGATTGTGAGAATCACATAGAAATAGGTACCTGAAAAAATAAGGTAATTACAGAGTCTTAGTAAAAACAAAAAGTTGTACAAAAAGAAATGTCATAGTACATTTTGTGGGTCTACAGTGAACAATATTTACATAATAATGATATAAAGAAACACCTGAGTACAAATGTAACGAAAAACTGTGACGCAATCAGGATATAACCTAAATATGTATGCATTTAACCAAAAATTGTGATTTTCAGAATACTTAACCAGTACAGACAAATACTAGTCAGTTGGAATAGATACTGGCAATAAATAGTTACACCGGTACCTACCAACTAAAAAAAGCAATGCTTAATAAAAACTAAGTTAAAGGGATGAGGTGAATGGTGGTTTTGTGTGTCTGAATGGAAGGACAGGGTTGGAGAGTCAGGATGTAAAAACCTAATCTCCTGATCTTCACTAGCAAGGATTATAGATGTATTGCAATCTTTAACAGTCATTTTATTTAGAAATATGGAGGTAGATGGCAGAAGAAAAAGCTAGGTTTGAAAATAGTACTTCTAAGGAATGAGTGCTTTTAACTATATCTACGTTTATTACCTTGAAGTTTTTGAAAACATTTGAAGGAGACTGTTCTTGTTATAGATTTGAAATTTTTACCATCCTGGGCTTCAACAGAAAGTTTAGATTCATCTTACAATTTGTGTATCTTAGGTATAATTTGAATGAACAGCTCCAGTGAGGTGTATATATAGGTCATGTGACTGACTTCCACACTACCCAACCCATTCTCGAATTTCTGTAGCCATCCCCAGACTCAGATTTGTTTTCTCTATTTTGATATTTTTCAGTAGAGGTCCATGTCTTCTATACCAGTTAGCAGTAAACATATACTGTTCTCATGAAGATTCCTTTGAAGCAGCCAGGTGCTCACTAGAGAGTGGTCCTACAGCTCAGAATTGCATTAGTGATAAAATTTTTTAAACACCAGTTAAATATATATTTTTTCTACTACAGGCCAATTATCCAAGAAGCATACTCACCTCCCTGCTCTTAAATAGCAGTCAGAGCTCTACTTCTGAGGAGACTGTGCTAAGATCAGATGCCCCTGATAGTACAGGAGATCAACCTGGACTTCACCAGGAGAATTCCTCAAATGGAAAGTCTGAGTGGCTGGATCCTTCCCAGAAGTCACCCCTTCATGTTGGAGAGACAAGGAAAGAGGATGACCCCAATGAGGACTGGTGTGCAGTTTGTCAAAACGGAGGGGAACTCCTCTGCTGTGAAAAGTGCCCCAAAGTATTCCATCTTTCTTGTCACGTGCCTACATTGACAAATTTTCCAAGGTAAGATAGTACTTCCCTTCCCACATTCTTTTACTCTAAACTTTTGAAGATTACTTAAATGAAATTCTACTTGGCACAAATGTATACTCCAAAATCCCAGTGAATAGTCTAGGTTTTCCCATACCTTTCCGCTTATTCCTTGTGCTTCTTTCAAGAAATTAATCATTCAGCCTGAGCAACACAGGGAGACCCTGTCTCTACAAATTAAAAAATTAGCCAGGTGTGGTAGTGCATGCCTATAGTCCCAGCCACTCAGGTGGCTAAGGTGGGAGGATTGGTTGAGCCTGAGAGGTCAAGGCTGCAGTAAGCTGTGATTGCACCACTGCACTCCAGACTGGGCAACAGAGCAAGACCCTCTCCCTAGTCATTATAAAAAGAAAATAAATAATAGGCCCTTTAAATTATCACAAGGTGTCACCATAAGGAACAATGTCCTTAGGCATAACAGCTACCAGTTTATTATGTCTTTTTTCCAGGCATCAAACTGTATCATTTACAAGTATTTCAAGTAAATTCTCAAACCCTATGGGGATGATGATCATCATCCTGACCAAGATGGTTAAGAGCCATTGGGTTGATCTCTCAGTTCTTGGAAGGCTATACTTTTGAAAATTTAATTTTATAAACTTAGAGTAACAAGAACAGTACAAAGAGCTTTTCTGATTTCTGAATCCTTTGGAGGAAAAAAATTCAATTATGCCCTAGATATGTGAGCCCTAGATTAATGTGTTAATTTGTCTAGGTGGTTTTTTTTGTTGTTGTTTTTTCATATATGTATCTCACACCTTCTTAACTAGATTTTGATGTTAGGCCCTTGCATTATATTTCTGCTGTTTCCTCTCAGCATGGTACAGTATACCTAGTGGTATGTGGTAAATGCTGAGTGATAAAATTCATGCCAAATAAACAATTCTGTATCATAGATGTCATGGAGGAGGTGGGAAAGGGAAATAGTGAAGAGAGGAAATGATGCATTAGAAATTCAAAAGTACATTGTCCCCCTACAGTGGAGAGTGGATTTGTACTTTCTGCCGAGACTTATCTAAACCAGAAGTTGAATATGATTGTGATGCTCCCAGTCACAACTCAGAAAAAAAGAAAACTGAAGGCCTTGTTAAATTAACACCTATAGATAAAAGGGTAAGTCTTCGAGCATTTCCAACCTAGCATGTTAGACAATTTTTTGGTAAGATGCATTATTGTACTGTGGTGCCTTTCATCAGAGAGGTGTATATCCATCCAGATTTTATACTGATCCTTTTTATTTAGGAGTTTTTTTTTTTTTTTTACAAAGGTATAACTTTCTTTAAATTTAAAAAAAAGTCACAGAATTTTGTGTGTTTTATAGAAGCTTATTGTACCTGAACAAGATGGAGTATGTAGCCTAGACTTTTAATCTACCTTAAGTAAATTTCTATTTTGTTTTATTTCTACCATAGATAAGTTTTTTCCTCAGAATTGCCACCAAGGAGCTGGGTTTTTTCTTTACTCTTCCTGGAAATAATTCTTTTTTTTTAACCGAATGGGACTAGACTTATGCATCAAAGCCAACTGATACATTTAACTGTAAATAACATTTACAGCTACCAAGTCAACACTTTGTTACCAAAAAAAACACCTTTGCTAAATTATTAAATAGAACAATCAATATGAAAGTTGTCATGCAAGAGGGGACGTGCCCATTCACTGCCAGTACTACTCAGTGGTTACTGGGATAAACCCATAAGCAGGGAAGTATGAATAGCAGAGCACATGGTTGGACCTTCTGCATGCAGAGAGGTGCCTTAGGTCTGTATGCACATTGAGAAGGTCCACCTCCAGTTCTCCTGAGAGACATATGTTCTTCCTTTATGGAGTATTATTAATTTATAATACACAGACTGGAGCAATAAGTGCAAATTTATTGTTAGAAAACTTCAAATGGGTTTCTAGTGATTGTCAGTTCATTCAATTACAGGGCCTGCTCCCAAATATCATATATACCCTAAATTGTCAAGTAGTACAGTTCAGTTAATGATTGGGAAGGAGAACAAAACTCCAAGAATCAATAATTTTTTTGTATTTATCTGAGTTTAAATTTTTAGTCTGATACTTTGGAACCTCTGAGATTGTTATTTAAAATAAGCTGTGAATTCATTGTTTTATATTTTATCTGTTTTTATTTATTTTTGCTTAGAAGTGTGAACGCCTACTTTTATTTCTTTACTGCCACGAAATGAGCCTGGCTTTTCAAGACCCTGTTCCTCTAACTGTAAGTATTAATGTCATTTTGTGCATGTTTACACAGTGGAATGCTTTTCTGGAATTTTTATTTATGAGAATCTAGCTTATATACCATTTTCTAGTATTTTTAAATCTAAACCTTAAATCTTAATAATACATACTGAATGCTTTGATTGTATATAGGTACATTTTTAGTAAGTGGCCCAAAACTTGTGTTCATTTCTCAGGTATTCTTTCGTCTTTTCTCATCTATTTTACTTAGTACTGGGGTGTTTGGGGTGATTTCTGTTAATTGTCTGTATCTCAGGAGTTTTAGGCATGTTTCCAAAGCTGTTGGAAAAAAACTTTGTTTGAAATAAAGACATCTCTCCCTGCTAAATTTTCCATACTTTTTATTTATAGGTCCAGACTTCAAGTAAATAAGTAGACTTTACCAATACAAAAAAGTTGAGGTTCATATTGAAAGTTTGATGTGACTTTAATGCATAATTTTAGGGTGCTGGAAAGGGCCTGGTACCCCAAAAAAGTATTCTAATGTCTGAACCCAGGAGGCGGAGGTTGCAGTGAGCCGAGATCACGCCATTGCACTCCAGCCTGGGCAACAAGAGCAAAACTCTGTCTCCAAAAAAAAAAAAAATTAATTTGTTCTACAGTTTGATAAATCTCAGATTAGTACAAAGTTAGAAGAGTATCAGCTTAGTAAATACATTCAGCTGATAAACAGCTTCTTTCTTAAGAACAGGTTTGGAGAACCTGATATAGGAAATAAATACTTCCAGGGAGAAGGCTCGTTTGTACCCAAAAGAGGCAGGGTATTGAATTGTGCTTTCTGTCATCCTGGCTTAGAGTTACGTTATTAATATCAACAGCACTGACAAAGTAGCCCCCTTTTTCTTAATAAATACCATCTCATTTAGTCTGTACAAAATGTTGTGAGCTTGGCAGGATTATTCCTATCTGGAATATGAAGAAACTGAGGTTAAGTAACTTACCCAGGACTGTGATACTGAGCAGCAGAGCTGGGGATTAAACCCAGATTCGAAGTCCTTCTTCCTCTTTACCACATGTTATATAAATACATGCAGCAAAAACATGTCAGATTCTACTAGAAATGATATTATTTCTAGTAATTGCTTTTTGTTTAATAATGAAAGAAAATCTAGGTGATTTAAGAGAGAATATGTGAAGACAAGTTTTTTCATTAAAAATAATTGGGACTGGGTGCAGTCGCTCATGCCTGTAATCCCAGCACTTTGGGAGGCAGATTGCTTGAACCCAGGAGTTTGAGACCAGCCTGGGCAACATGGCAAAACCCCATCTCTATAAAAAATACAAAAATTAGCCAGCTATGTTAGCACATGCCTGTAGCCCCAGCTACACGAGAAGCTGAGGTGAGAGGATCACTTAAGCCCAGGAGGCAAAGTGCAGTGAGCCGAGATTGTGTCACTGCACTCCAGCCTGGGTGACAGAGCAAGACCCTGTCTCAAAAACAATAATTGGTTAAACTTCTTGGAAAAAGTAACACAAACCTTTACCAGTATGTATGTGGAAGGCAGTGAACACTGTTAAATGGGTTTCTTTACTAATGACAGATAGCACAGAGAAAAGCAATGAGAACATTCTGAATTTTAGAGCACATCTCATAGACTAGATTTAGGACAAGGTAGAATTTAGCTATTTATATTATAACATCTCATTTTTTTTAAAGGTGCCTGATTATTACAAAATAATTAAAAATCCAATGGATTTGTCAACCATCAAGAAAAGACTACAAGAAGATTATTCCATGTACTCAAAACCTGAAGATTTTGTAGCTGATTTTAGATTGATCTTTCAAAACTGTGCTGAATTCAATGAGGTGAGGCTAGGGGAGGGGAGGGGCAGGAAGGAATAGCAGTGTGAAAATCATTTTATACTAAACACCGTGTCAACATAGGAGACCAAGATGTCTGAGTTAGAAAAAATTTCCAACTTTTCAGATCAGGGAATGCAGGAGAGAATTCAGATAACTATCCACATTTATATTCAAAGGTTTATTAGATGGTGATGGAAATGTAAATTACAGCTGATAACGGAAAGACAAAATATTTTTCTCTGACCTAAAATTTATGATTCCCACCTTTATTTCTTATTTTTATATTGATCTTGAAATATTAAGGATGTGGGCCAAATAGCTCTAATTTAAAAATTTCTCATCTGTCAGTTCATCTAAACATCTGTCAGACTTAGGACCTTTTGCTGCTAGGTGGTTTGTTCTCTGTTACTCATTGTAAGAGTACTACATTTAATTTGTTCTAAAAATACCTGGTTCATGATCCTATGGTTATGGAATCCTAACTGATATATCTTTGGCAATACAGTCCTACCATTACCACCTTCTTTTAGAATAATCCAGTCTTTTACTTTTTTCCACACTTATGAATCTTTTATTTTAGCTGGCCTTCTATACAGAGACTTTGTCTAGTCCTAGACTATTATTTATTTCAATGACTATGCATGAACATTTTTCAAAACAGCGCATTAATATATATAATCTCACAAGTCAAAAATGTGTCTTCTTTACTCATATTTTTATTTTTACTCAACAGCCTGATTCAGAAGTAGCCAATGCTGGTATAAAACTTGAAAATTATTTTGAAGAACTTCTAAAGAACCTCTATCCAGAAAAAAGGTTTCCCAAACCAGAATTCAGGAATGAATCTGAAGATAATAAATTTAGTGATGATTCAGATGATGACTTTGTACAGCCCCGGAAGAAACGCCTCAAAAGCATTGAAGAACGCCAGTTGCTTAAATAATATGCAGCACCACTAGCTTGTGCTGGTTTTTAGATTTTTTTTGTTTTCAAAAAAACCATTTGTCAGTAATTTAATAACATCACTACAAAGAAGAGTTTGTGACTACTCTGATCTCTGTTTTGGACGTTTACTAGACTTTGATTTCCTTAATAGCCCATTTCTGTTAACCTCTTATCACTAAGAAAGAAGGAGATGAATGGAAGAAAGAAAATGGAGAGAAGGAAAAAAGGATGGAAGAAAGAAGCATTGAAAACAAAGACATTCTTCCCCCTTCTTGGATTTTTAAACCACAATCTGGAGCGATAGCTGCTGTAGAAAGGAAATAGACTTTGTATGAACTCTTCAGTTGAAAAGTATACGTGGTTTGGATGTGTGCGTTAATTCAGTTTTAGAAATTAATACCACTACCCATGAATTATATGGCCTGACAATGTGAGTTAGGTGTACTGTACTAAAGAACAGTACTCCGCAAACATGAGTGGTAACAAGAGTTCCATCCCAGGAGGCCAAACGGTGCAACAGAAGGGTAGGTTAGATGCTATTAAGAAGGCACCTAATAGTACATCATGTAAGATGGCAACTGTATTAAAGAAAAATCCGGAAAACAAATTTTGTTTGATTTTTGTTTTTTGTTTTTATCTTGTCTGTAGAGGTGTTTGGTATAGGTTTTCAAGGCCACTTTTTATACATTTCTAGATCTAGATTTTCAACTTCTTCCACTGAGGGAAGTATACACATTTGGTTTTGCTGTGTGTCTATGTGAGGTTTAACTGTACAGGTGATCCTTTTACAACAAGCCTCATTGTTTGCAGTATAGCTGTTAGTGGAACTATCCAAAATATAAATACAGCAGCGTGCACTGTATTTGATGTGAGGTTTCTTCATCTACTGGGCATTAAATATAAGTTCCTCTGAAAGGGACTCGTTTTTGTGGTTTTCATCTGTCTGTAATTTGGAATGAAAATGTGTTGTGGGATTTTGGGAGCAGGCAGTTGGGGGGAATTAATAGTGATTTTTTTTTCCTGAAGCATCTAATGTTTTTCTTTCGAGAGTCAGAACATCAAATTTAATCTTTGATCTGACTTCTGATTTTATTCTCCTGATAGAGATACAAAAGACCTATCTTCTGAGGACAAGCATATTCTTAATGTGCCAGACCTACCCGGTTCAACTGATCTAGATAGAAGAAAATTGCTGTGCCATACACTAATCCAGCATTTGACACAATACCTAAATGGTTTGCCGAAGTTAATCTTAATTTATAAAACATTAACTGGAGTAAATTTTTCTCCTTAGGATGATAGAATAAAAAGAGCTGACTTTAAAGAAGGCTATTATTTGCATTATATCACCTCCCATAAATTTAACATAGAAGACTTGGTTTTATCTACATGGCTTTACTTCTTAAAGTGGAAAATACCCTGTGGCTAATTCATTGGGTTTTCAGGTATTGCTAAAGATAAAATATAGGGAGAAAATAACTTGTTAGCAATAGCTTCCCGTTGTTTATATATAGGTCTTGTTCATAATATGTCAATTACGTATTGTTAAAAAGTCCTAATCACTTTTCCAAATATGTGTTACATGGTAATGTTTGTCATTGTCGTTTTAAAGTTGCATTTGACATTTGTTCTCCAAAGAGTGTTTGAACAGATTTTGATAACAGTGCACACACCTTTTGTCTTTTTTTGCTCCAGCATTTTATTTTTAGCACAGCAGCTGTGGAGCTTTTGCTAATTATTTTATTGTTGGTATCTTAGAATACTGTTCGTCTGACAGTTTATTCTTCCATACTTGTCTCCCGAGTTAAAACAGTTAAATTATTTAACAACACAGTTAAATTATTTTGAGAATCATTACAAAAGGGAGTTAGAACTTGTCAGAGTAAAACTGTAATTTCCTAAATGTGACTAATGAACCCCCAACTGTCACTATTACATTCAGTGCCATATTTATCTTTCAAAATAGTATTTGTTTCACCCTAACCATCTTTGGCTGAATGAAAGGCAGTTGAGAACCATCTTTTCGTCATACATAATATATTAAAATATAATTATATTTAAAGTAAAGGTCTTGGGGCCGGGCACAGTGGCTCACGCTTGTAATCCCACCAGCACTTTGGGAGGCCAAGGTGGGCAGATCACAAAGTCAAGAGTTTGAGATCAGCCTGGCCAACATGGTGAAACCCCCGCTCTACAAAAAATACAAAAATTAGCCGGGGATGGTGGCATGCACCTGTAATCCAAACTACTCAGGAGGCTGAGACAGGAGAATCATTTGAACCCAGGAGGCAGAAGTTGCAGTGAGCCAAGATCTCACCATTGCACTCCAACCTAAGTGAGAGACTCAGTCTCAAAAACAAAAAGTAAAGGTCTTGGGTTTCTCTCTGTAAATAGCCCTTGTGTAATGGTCTTTAGATTAATATCCTTTGACTTTATTAATAAGTACCTGTGTGCCCAAGTGGATCTCAGTTAAGTCATCCTTAAATTCTATTCAAATAGAAATAAACTATAAAATGAGCCTAACTATAACCTACACTCATTTATCAAGCATTCCCCCAAAAGTTCAGTGCAATTCAGGTACCCTTGACCTAAACTTGTATACTCCAATGTACATCTTTGATAAACTCTGGAAGATTTCCCTCTGGATTTGGGATCAGGAGCCCAGTGGGCCCTATTGCTGAATGTTTACCACACCTTTGGCTAGGGCTTATGGATGAGCAGACTACGTGGAAGCTAGGATTTACTCAGTTCCACCTCACTGACAGCTTTTCTAGGGGCCAAGCAACTGACTTTCCTGCATAAGGAAGCCCAAGTACTCGACCAGTGACATATATGGCCATTTGGCAAAAGTATAAATGGATGGATGTAGACCATATTGAATGCAGAATACATTTTAGATCAGTATCTGGCATTGCAATCATTTTGCCTTTTGAATTAACATGCCCTGCTTGTCTTTTCTGAATGTAAGGGTAGGAAAGTAGAAGGTACTAAAAAGGAAATGTAGTTTTAGTTTCTTTTCTAAGCTAAAGAACTGGCTTTACTACTACTATATTTTACTACCACACAGTAGTATAGATGTAGTATAACTTGGTTAGGAATGCTTTCCCAAAGGTTACCTCCATAGTCAAAAGGGTGAGTATACAGCTGATTCTTCCATTTATGAAACTGCATTTCAATATCCTATGCTGCTACTGTGCTTAGACACTTAGTTACATTTGAGTTCCAAGGAGAGAGAGTGAGAACAGGAACTCCTCCTCTTGCTGAGCTCTGGTCCAAATTAATGTGAATACCAAAAGTAAATTGCTGTATATGAATAAAAGGTTTTAGGTTTAAATTGAAGATATATTCATTTTAAGGTTTATATGTATTGGTTGTGAATGAGAGAAATTGAGTGATCTGATTGGCCATTAAAATTACGGTAAACAGGCCAGGTGCAGTGGCTCATGCCTGTAATCCTAGCAGTTTGGGAGACCGAGGTGGGTAGATCACCTGAGGTCAGGAGTTCAAGACCAGCCTGACCAACATGGTGAAACCCCATCTCTACTAAAAATACAAAAATCACCCAGGTGTGGTGGCACATACCTGTAATCCTAGCTGCTCAGGAGGCTGAGGCAGGAGAATCAGCTTGAACCCAGGAGGCAGAGGTTGCAGTGAGCTGAGATCACACCATTGAACTCCAGCATGGGCGTCAGAGCAAGACTGTCACAAAAAAAATTATGGGGAAAGGCCGCGCGGTGGCTCATGCCTGTAATCCCAGCACTTTGGGAGGCCGAGGCTGGTGGATCACCTGAAGTCAGGAGTTGAAGACCAGCCTGGCCAACATGGTGAAACCCCGCCTCAACGAATATACAAGAAAATTAGCTGGGCATGGTGGTGGGTGCCTGTAATCTCAGCTACTTTGGGAGGCTGAGGCAGGAGAATCACTTGAACCCAGGAGGTGGAGGTTGCCGTAAGCCGAGATCACACCATTGCACTCCAGCCTGGGCAACAAAAGCGAAACTCTGTCTCAAACAAAAAGAAAAGAAAAAGAAATTATGGGGACCACGTGTTCAACCATCTGATTTCTTACTGAAATTGAGCTTCTCCTTTTAAATAACCATTTATATATTTTTAAAAGTATTTTATAGCCCTATGTAAATTAATAGTTGATGTCTTTTTATAAATGTTTATTGCATATTCATCTTGAATGTGAATTTACTGTTGTAATTCACATACTGGTGTTATGTTTCTGAGTGAGAATAACGCTAGCCAATCACATCACAGATTTTTCCCCATGAAGGTTTTACTTACTGAGAGGGACATCTGAGGTAGTAGTCTTCATTTTTAATTTTTGGGGGCAGATTGGTGCTTTGGTTTTAATAAAAATTAACTTTGATGGATTTTTACTGTCAATATTTTACCACAAGGATCTTTTAATGGAAAAATTACTGAATATTACTTCAGCAGAGTTCTAACTTCTTTGAGCCTCCGTTACTACTCCTGTTGTTCCCCTGGCTGTAACACTGATACATATAGGGGCAAGCTACTAGTCCATAAATAGCTGTAATAGGAAAACAGTTTTTTAAAATTCTAGCACATGTATTTCACCGGCCTTAAAAGATTTTTTAAAAATTGACAGGGAGGAAAGCGGGTGGTAAATATCTTGGATTATTCTGCCTCATACCAGCCACTCCCAAACTAGAACCAAAGATGCCATGAAAACTTCTACTTGTCTGGAAGTTATTTGGGGAAGGAGGGAAAGACACAGAGTGGGGACTTTTGGGAGTCACTTAAAAAATTTAGCTATGTTAATTCCACTTGTAAAGTTTGAAAGGTTTTGATTCTCATAATTTCTGAGAATTACTATGTTTTAAATTTACTATTGGATATTTAACAGATCTTTCATGGGGCCAACCTATTTGCTTCCTTAATTTTCAAATTAAGTCCTAATTTGAGTCCTAAAAAAATCTTTCCTTGTTAGTTGCAAGTTAAACATTTAATAAAATTATTTTCCCATGTTTCCACATGTGGTATGGAATAAAGGCTGTTTTAACATTCCCTGCAAGATACTTGGGAATATGGATTCTTTGCCTATGTACTAATGCCTTTAACCCCAAGATAACTGAACCAGAAAATTCAGTCAGGAATCTTTCCATTGCAGATGACTGAATCCCAATTGCCATTGCTTTGAGGGAGAGGATAGAATATACGGATCAACCAGAGTTAAGCCCTCCTCACCTTTTAAATGAAAATGTACTGACCTAAGAAGTGGCATTTCTCCAAGGAAAAATCAGGGTGTTCTCTATTATTATTATTATTATTTTAGGCAGGGTCTCCCTCTGTCATCCAGGCAGGAGTGCAGTGGGACCATCATGGCTCATTGCAGCCTCCATCTCCTGGGTTCTGGCGATCCTCCTGCCTCAGCCTCCCAAAGTGCTGGGATTACAGGCATGAGCCACCGCATTCAGCCCAGGGTGTTCTTAACAAGAAGCAAAAACAAACTAGGCCACCAAAAGGCAGACTTTGACGGTGATGCTGGTTTATCTGACTGGTCCTTTTAGGGATTTACTAATGAGGTTGTATGTTAAGAAAACCCAAGGTACAAACAGTTCAAAATAAATATTTTGGCATTCATATTATAAAAGTTTTTGCAAAATTTCAGGCCAATATTCCTAATGAACAGAAGTGTGAAAATCCTCAGTAAAATACTGGCAAACCGAATCCAACAGTACATCAAAAAGGTTACCCACCACGATCAAGTCAGCGTCATCCCTGGGATGCAAGACTGGTTCAACATACGCAAATCAATAAACGTAATCCAGCATATAAACAGAACCAAAGACAAAAACCACATGATTATCTCAATAGATGCAGAAAAGGCCTTCAACAAAATTCACCAGCCCTTTATGATAAAAACTCTAGGTACTGATGAAACATTTCAAAATAAAAGCTATTTATGACAAACCCACAGCCAATATCCTGAATGGGCAAAAACTGGAAGCATTCCCTTTGAAAAGGATGCCCAAGAAAAGGATGCCCTCTCACCACTCCTATTCAACATAGTATTGGAAGTTCTGGCCAGGGCAACCAGGCAAGAGAAAGAAAGAAAGGGTATTCAATTAGGAAAAGAGTAAGTCAAGTTGTCTCTGTTTGCAGATGTCATGATTGTGTATTTAGAAAACCTCATCGTCTCAACCCCAAATCTCCTTAAGCTAATAAGCAACTTCAGCAAAGTCTAAGGATACAAAATCAATCTACAAAAATTGTAAGCATTTCTATACACCAATAACGACAAACAGCACCAAATCATGAGTGAACTCCCATTCACAATTGCTACAAAGAGAATAAAATAACTAGGAATACAACTTACAAGCCATTATAGACTGCTTTAAAGAGACTCTAGAAGGCTGAACAGCAATTAAGAGAAAAAACATAAATGCATAAACGCATAAACCTTAGTTGCTTTCTACAGCATACATAACCTTAAGAGTTTAGCGTGCACGGGTGTGATGTCTTGCATGCATGGAATGGTTTCAAAACAAATAGCATGTAAGTAGAGGCATACAACAGAGATTGCGGTTTCAGTTCCAGACCACTGCAATAAAGCAAATATCACAATAAAAATGGTCACAAATAGTTTGGTTTCCCAGTGCTTATAAAAGTTATGTTTATACTGTAGTCTATTAAGTGTGCAATAGCATTATATCTAAAAAATCTACATACCTTAATTTTCTTTCACCAAATAGCTTCTCACATATCTTAATTTTGAAATAATTCATTACGGAGAAGTGCAATCATCTAAGCCTTCAGCACGTCAATCTTTTGCTGATGGAGACTCTAGCCTCAATATGTATGGCTGCTGACCGTTCAGAGTAGCAGTTGCTGAGGGCTGGGGTGGCTGTGGCAATTTCTTAATGAAGTTTGCTGCATCAGTGGACTCTTCCTTTTATGAAAGATTTCTCTGTAGCACATGATGCTGTTTGATAGTATTTGACCCACAGTAGAACATCTTTCAGAATTAGAGTCAGTCTTCTCAAACTCTGCCACTGCTTTATCAACTAAGTTCATATAATATTCTAAATCCTTTGTTGTCATTTCCACAATGGTCACAGCATCTTCACCAGGAGTAGACTCTACCTCAAGAAACCACTTTCTTTGCTCATCCACAAGAAGCAAGTCCTCATCTGTTCAAGTTTGAGATTACAGCAATTCAGTCACATCTTCAGTCTCCACTTCTAGTTCTCTTGGTATTTCTGTCACATCTACAGTACCTTTCTTCACTGAAATCTTGAACCCCTAAAAGTCATTTGTGAAGGTTCAAATCAATGTCTTTCTCACTCCTGAGTTATTCTGACTCTTCCCGTGAATCACAGATGTTCTTAATGGCATCTAGAATGGTGAATTGTTTCCGGAAGGTTTTCTGTTTACTTTGCCCAGATTCATCAGTGGAATCACTATCTGTGGCAGCTATAGCTTTATGAAATATATTTCTTAAATAGTAAGACTTGAAAGTCAAATTTACTTCTTGATCTATGGTCTACAGACTGTGTGTTTTGTTAACAGACATTAAATTATCGAGATCTTAGGTGACTAGGTGCAATGTCAGTGAGCAGTAATGTTTTAGATGAAGTCCTTTTTTTGAACGATAGGTCTCAAAAAATGGGCTTAAAAATTCACCATGCCGTAAACAGATAATTCCATCATCTAAGCATTGTTCTATGTATAAAGTACAGGCAGAGTAGATTTAGCGTAATTCTTAAGGGCCCTTGAATTTTGAGGTCAATGAGCATTGGCTGCACCAGCTGCATTAGTCCCTAATAAGAGAGTCAGTCTATTCTTTGAAGCCAAGCATTAACGTGTAACTATAAAGTCCTAGTTGGAATCTTCTTCCAATAGAAGGCTATTTTATCGACACAAAAATCTGTTTAGTGTAACTACCATCAGTGATTTTAGCTAGATCTAAATAACTTGCTATAGTGTCTCCATTAGCACTTGCTGCTTCACCTTGCACTTGCCTTCACAGAGAGGTAGGGTCTTGCTCTATGTTAGGTTTTGGCTTAAGGGATTGTTGTGAATAGTTTCATCTATCCAGACCAAACTTTCTCCACGTTAGCAATAAGGCTGTTGTGCTTTCTTATCATTTGTGCATTTTACTAAACCAGACCCTTCAAGAACTTTGTGCATGCACAACCTAGCTGTTTGGCAGAAGAGGCCTAGCTTTGAGCCTGTAGCTTTCAACATACCTTCCTCACTAAGCTTCATCATTTGTAGCTTTTGATTTAAAATCAGAAATGTGCGAGTCTTCCTTTCACTTGAACATTTACAGGCTATTGTAGGGTTATTTGGCCTAATTTCAATAGTACTGAGTCTCAGGGGATAAGAAGGCCTAAGGAAAAGGAGAGAGAAGGGGGAACATCCAGTAGGCAGAGCAGTAAGAACACACATGTATCAATTAAGTTTGCCTTCTTACATGAGTGTGGTTAGTGGCACTCTCAAAACAATTACAATAGTAACGTCAAAGATCACCAATCACCACAACAGATGACCAAAATAGGACAGAGACACAGTGAGTACATGCTGTTGGTAACAGTGCAATATATGGAAGCACAATAAAATAGGACAGGCCTGTAATTACATGATGGCGAAAAGCTTGCTGCGTTCTTTAATCTTTATCAAGAGAATCAAAGACTCCCCCTATAAAAAAATAAAATTAGAGACAGGGAATGTAAGGGGTAAAATTGGTTTATTCCCTGCTTCTTGGTGATTATGTGTAATACTCATTCTAATTTAAGCATTTTATGAATAAGCAATTTTCATCAAACTATGGAGGCTGTAAGTTACATAGGCGAATTTGAATTTGAACTTGATGGCTATTCTAGTTGTTTTGAAAATGATATCATCCCAGGTTCTTGCCTTAGCTACAAAATTTCAGTTCAAGTTTAGCTACAAACCTCATGGGAGAATATCAAATATAAGTTTAAAATTTAGTATTTATTCATATAAAGGTTTACAGACTTGATTTCAAGGAATAAAAGCCATCTTTCCCCCACCATCTCCCTTTCACACCCCTTTGAAAGCTTAAGTTATATTTTATAAAAGTACTTTATATATTGTCCCTCAAGGAAGAGATCAATACAGAGTTACCTACCCCATTCCCATATATGCCTTTAAAAAAAAAAAATCACTTTACTAATTACCGAGTAGCATAGAGAAGTAAAACCAAGTTTTAAAAAATGCACCAGTTCTGAAGATAGAATTCATTTTTCTCATCTGGTAGACAGCTTTGCAGGTCTTCATTTAATTTGCTGGAAGAAAGTTATTTAATAGATCAGTAACAGACTTTTAAAAAGTCTTGTCCATTCATACTCAGCTGATATTTTAGTAACAGAAGATTCTGTAATAAAAAATTATTAGGAGGGAAGATCCTAGCATTTACCTTAGTGTATCTGAAGATATAATGCTAACTTTTTTATTCTAATATAATGCAGACGTCATTTAGAAAAATTCATATTTTATATAGATTATATATACATTATATGTATACTATATACATGCATATATATACACGTGTGTGTGTATATACATATATAATTTTTTTTTTAGAGACAGGGTTTCACCATGTTGGCCATGCTGGTCTCAAACTCCTGACCTCAGGTGATCCACCTGCCTCAGCCTCCCAAAGTGCTGGGATTACAGTTGTGAGCCACTGCACCTGACCAGTATTCTCTTTCTAGATAGCGTTTTAGATTTTTAGTTTACCAGACTCCTCAAATCAGAGTTTCTTAGAGTAGTTGTAACACAGAATCAATACCACTTTAAAATTATTGACCAGGTTGGTTCATCCAAATTATTAGGATGTTGTCTGTGTGTGTTGTTGGAAGGAAGTTAAGATTTTTGACATGTTCTTATAAACATTTCTAGAAGCTGTATTGGTGTCAGTTAGGTGGTTTCATATGGTAACCACTCACAACACTGAAGTAAGGGGAGTGGGTGTGGCTGTGTATTTTAAGATTTTTCCCAAAGACATGTAGCCAGTTAGTGGCAGTCATCAAGGGATACATGCCCAGACAATTGTATGTATTGAACCTACTTGTTTGTTTAAAAGGTTATAAACAATCATGCAGAATCATTTCCCCATAGTGCTAAACCCAAGTCCCACTCAACAGAAGAGGAAAAGTCTTCTAGGTAGATATGACTTGAATAGGAGATTCTAGATGCTAAGTCAGGTTTCCACTTATATGTATCATTATTTGCAAAATTAAGTAACACTAAATTCCTATTTCCTTAGTGTTACGGTCTGGTTTAAATTGTAGCCTCACTACAATATTAGTGTGCTCCTTTATACAAGTTGCTCAACTTGTGTCTTAGTTTCCTCATTTGTATAAAGGATCTGATCATCCTTTGCTTATAATTAAAAGGAAGCATATCGATCATCTAAGTCTCTGGCTTTAAGCACTCAGTGACTGGATCACCTTTCCAAGTAAGGAACCTAAACAAAGCCCTAAATTCACAATTACATAATAGATCACCTAATCTGATTAAAATGCAATATTACATTAAAAATAAACTAGCCTTAAAGATAGGCAAACTAGGCTGGGTGCGGTGACTCACACCTGTAATCCCAGCAATTTAGGAGGCCAAGGCAGGTGGATCTCTTGAGGTCAGGAGTTCGAGACCAGCCTGGCCAACATGGTGAAACCCCATCTCTACTAAAAATACAAAAATTAGCTAGGCGTAGTGGTGGGTGCCTGTAATCCCAGCTACTCGGGAGGCTGAGGCAGGAGAATCACTTGAACCCAGGAGGCAGAGGTCGTAGTGAGCTGAGGTCACACCACTGCACTCCAGCCTGGGCAACAGAATGAGACTCTGTCTCAAAAAAAAGCTTAGTTTGTTTTTTTTTTTTTTTTTTGAGACAGAGTCTCATTCTGTCGCCCAGGCTGGAGAGCAGTGGCACGAACTTGGCTCACTGCAACCTCCACCTCCCAGGTTCAAGAGATTCTCCTGCCTCAGCCTCCCGGTAGCTGGGACTACAGGCATGGCTAATTTTTGTATTTTTAGTAGAGACGGGGTTTCAGCATATTGGCCAGGCTGGTCTCGAACTCCTGACTTCAGATAATCTGCCCACCTCAGCCTCCCAAAGTGCTGGGATTACAGCCGTAAGCCACTGCACCCGGCTGCCTTTTTAATACTCAATAGTGCCTTCCTTGTATCTACTCACAGAAACAAAACATATCAGTATCAAAACAAATATGAATGCATACAAGGTTTACAGTGAGTAGGACGTAGCAGAGAGGGTAAGTTACACTCAGCCACAGAAGCACCATGACTCTACAGCCTCAGGGAGAGGTGGCATCTCGGGGTCAACTAAACTATGTGACCAGTGGCCTAACCCAACCATTCTCCCCCTTCCCCATAAGCACCCACACACGCCCTTGTAAACCAGCTACAAGCTTTGTGTTGAAGACAGGAAGACATCAGACCCACCACCTGTACTTGGAGGTGACCATCCTTCACTGAATCCAACCATAAGGGCAGGGGTAGGAGAGGCCCTCTCTTCAACTTTGAGCCTGGAAGGATGCCTTATACTTTTGAGGTAGGGGTGTGTGTGCGCGTGTGTGTGTGTGTGTGTGTGTGTGTGTGTGTGTGTGTGTATATATATATATTTTTTTTAATGTACTTTGCAAAATAGAGTGAGCAGTCAGTCCTGCTGTTAGTATTGGAAAGCGACTGGCACAACATTGGAGCTTTTGACTCAATTCTTCCCAGAGGGACCAGAGGTAAATGAAGCTGGACCAACACATGAAGACCATGTGACCCCAAGGACAACACAAATAGCTGTTGCAGCTCTGCCAGTCACTTTCAGCTCTGCAGTAAGGCTTATATTCAGATAGAAAAGTGGGAAGGGCAGCTGGGCGCGGTGGCTCACGCCTGTAATCCCAACACTTTGGGAGGTTGAGGCAGGTGGATCACGAGGTCAGGAGATCGAGACTATCCTGGCTAACATGGTGAAACCCCGTCTCTACCAAAAATACAAAAAATTAGCCGGGCGTGGTGGCACGTGCGTGTAGTCTCAGCTACAAGGGAGGCTGAGGCAGGAGAATCGCTAGGAGGTGGATGTTGCAGTGAGCCAAGATCGTGCCACTGCACTCCAGCCTGGGAGACAGAGTGAGACTCTGTCTAAAAAAAAAAAAAAAGAAAAAGAAAAAGAAAAGTGGGAAGGGTAGAATCCCGAGGCCTCTACAACTGTCACTAGGAAAAAAAAAAAAAAAAGTTCTTGTTATTCAAACCGCAACTTTACAGAAAGAAACTTGATATGAATTACCAGTTATCTTAACTACAGTGATGCCCATATACCAAGTTCATTTCCTCTGGGCAAAAGCGGTAGTCGAAAAGACTTCAGAGCTCCCTGCATCACTCACCTGGAGGGCCCGTCCTTTTGTTTCAATGGGGAGAGTAAATGCAGAAATGGCACATACAACACAGACGGACGAGAAGAGACACAGGGCCCCCAGTATTGAAGCACTCATAAGAACCTGCAAGTCACAAGAGAATTACTCACTTTATTATGCTCCAGTCACCTCTAAACTGTTCTTTATGTGAAAGGGAAACTACGGAGTCACTTCACTAACATGGTCCTTTACAGCCATTCTGCAGGTTGTACCCTTCCTGACAAATTGATTTATCTGAGCCACTCTGGTGTAGTCATTTTGTGTGATTAGGCCAAGAGCAGGGACCGGCATTAACACGCGTTGGCCAGGTAAGACCCCTCTTGGCACCCACCTGTCAGTCATCTCCAGAGCCAAGTTTTGATATCTGGAGAAGACGGGGGATCGGCCCGTTTTCCCACCCCCTTTCTCATACCAATTCAGCTTGCTTAACTTCTAACTCTCACTTCACGCTATATCCTCTCTCTGCCAAATATCCATTATCCCTTCAGTCCTGACAGCACGAAACAGGCAAAAGTTTTTGTTTTTGGAAGAGATGTTATCTCAGGGTCTCTGAAAGGATTGCTAATGTGTCTTGTCTCTGGTTATGGAGTTGTGTGACAAGCCTTGTGTGACACCAGAACTCTTTGGTGTCAATTTTTCCACAGTAACTGGGTTTCTGTCCATCTGAACACACACTTTGGCCTGGATCTTTTCATGCAGATACTGGCTAATTCAGATACTCCATCTCATACTTCAGTTTCTCTTGGTCTGTGTTCTTGGTAGTTCTCCATGAATCTCACAACAACAGTAAAGTATGAAGTGGTTAACCAACAGCAAAGCTCTCTAGAATCATAGAATAACATATTATAATTTAGAATGACCTAGAAACTATCTGGCTGAATACAATTTCTTCCCTTTACAGATGAGCCTAGACTAAGTGACTAGTCTCAGTAACTACTTGTCCAAAGTCACATACAGATCCTGACACACAGCCTGGTGGTACCACCACCACTTAGGTTCCCTTATGATACACAATTTGGGAGTATACCTCCTGTGTTTCAGGGCTGCTGCCTTCCAAAACACTAAATAATTCCACTCACCATGCAAACAGAACCCACAGCATTGATCTCACTAATTATTTTGCAATTGCCCTAGCAAGTTATAGGTACTATGCTGATTTTTCTCCCAAAATTACAATTTTGCCCTAACAGGAGTTTGTATAACGTGTGTGTGTGTGTGTGTGTGTGTGTGTGCGCGCGCGCGCGTGTACGCGTGTTTACTGCTGGAAGTCTCGGAAGCAAGCCCAGAAAAGGGATAGAAACCAAAAGGCCAGGCAGTCTGAGCTAAGATCAGATCATGCCATAATTAGGCACGTGTCTAGATTCTGTCATTATTGCTACTTCTATTACTGGACACCAAAATTCTCGCCACCACCAGAACGAATCCTAAACTATCCCCACTTTATATCCTTATACCACATTTAAAGTCCTGGGTAGTGTGAGACCCAGATGAGTTGAGTTTGGGTCACCTACCTGTGCTCCAGCAGTCACGGTCAGGGAGAGTAACTGCCTAGGCGTTCTGGCTTCCCTGAAGCTTCGTAACAAGACTCCACAATCCACTAGATGTTACCAGATATTTTTTCGATAAATTCTACCTAAGTTTACTAAAGTCAGTTTCTACTGTTTGTAAGCAAGAACTCTGAGTAATACCTGATTATAAAAATAATATTGGAAATTTGTTAAAATGCAGATTTTCAGAGACCACTCCAGATTTACTAGATCAAAAGTAAAGAGATCTGTTGTTAATCTCTTCTTCTAAAAAGCAACCCAGACTAGGGATAGAGAGACATTACATAATGACACAAGGGTCAATCCACCAAGAAGACGCTGCTATACTAAAGGTTATACATCAAACAAAAGAGCTTCAAAATACATTCAGCAAAACTGTTAGAAATAAAAGGAAAAATAGACATCCACAAATACATGGAGACTTTAATACTCCTACCTCAACAATTGATAGAACTATTAGACAGCAAATCAGCATAGAATTTTATGACACCATCAAGCAATGGGATCTAAATGACAGTTGTAGGACAGTCCACCCTGTAACAGCAGAATACACCTTCCGTTCAGGTGCCCACTTAACGTTCACCAAGATAAGCCATATCCAGGGCCCTAAAACGAACCTCAACAGATTTAAAAGAATTGAAATCATAGAGTGTGTTCTAGTCCTAAAAGGATGTCAAGCTAAGAACAGGTAACAGCAAAATCTGCAAACACTTCTGTGTAATCCACGCACTAAAGAAGTCTCAAGAAAAATTAAAAATACATGGAATGGAATGAAAACACAACATGTTAAATTTATAGGATAGAGCTAATAGGAACAAAAACAGAGTACTTAGGAATAAACTTAACAAGAAATGTATAAGAAAATTATTCTTAAAGCCAGAACTGTCTTTCTGAGATCTAATTCCAAGGACTTCTCCACAGCTAAGTGAGATGCCTCACATCAGTATTAGATGATTCTTTGTGTGGACAGAACAGAGTATTTTCATCTTGTATTTAAAGCAATTTGTTGGCTTCGGCTCCTCACCACTTTCTATACTAGTCTCCCATTCACGTCCCTAGTAATACCTATGCAAAAAAGAAAAAGCTGATGATGAAACCCACAGGTTTAAGAGCTTAAATCTCAAACTTTGTTACGAGTAACAGGAGTGTGCTGAGAGGGCAAGCAATAAAACAAGTCATACCAAAAAGCCACATTGCTCTCTCCTAAGCCCCAACCCCACTCCACTCCTGTGGCCGGTGGTCCAAACAGAAAATAACTGGAGAAGACGAGGAGGTCAAAGGATCAGGGAACTAAGCATTATGTGAATTCACCAGCAAGATGTACAGAACACTTGTGTTTACATTGTTTTTATGGAACTAGCAGAATAAAACTGATCTATTTTAAAAATGAAAAAAAAAATTATAACTCTACCAAGTACATAAAAACATCTATTTCAGTTCTTAGGAAAATACAATCTTATAAAAATATAATCTTCACCAAAACAATCTGTAATTCTAATAGAAATTAAAATGCCAACAGGATTTTGAAAAAAACACAAATTCTAAAGTTAACTTGGCTAGGCAGAGTAGCACGCACCTGCAGTCCCAGATACTTGGGAGGTTAAGGCAGAAGGACCACTTAACAGGAGTTAGAGGCTGTGGTGTTCTATAATTGCACCTGAGAAGAGTCCCTGTAATTGTACTCCAACCTAGCGGGATCCGTCTCCAAAAAATAATAATAGTAAGAGATACAGAAATGTCAAAAGACAAATTACCACAAACTTTTTAAATAAACTGGATTCCTTATGTAGTAAAGTTAATTTGAAATAATTAACATATAACAAATTAGGCAACTTCTGAAAACATGTGGAGGTACAGGGAGTCGGAGGGGTTATTTACCTAGGAGAAATTAAAGTGCAGTCATTAGCAGTGTAGCGTTGGTGCTGGAATAAAGAGATCAGTAAAGCAGTGAGTCACAAAATAGATCCAAACATCTATGGGCATTTGGTTTATTATATAACAGGGACATGTTTAATCATTTGAGGGGAGACAGACAAGGATGACTGATGGCCTCAGAGCAGCCAGCTAGGCATTGTTTTGTTGCTTTTTAAAGCTAGATCCTTACTTCAGGCCTTGTGTATAAATAAATTATGAAAAAATCAATTTGCTGGGCACGGTGGTTCATGCCTGTAATCCCAGCACTTTGGGAGGCCAAGGTGGGTGGATCACCTGAGGTCAGGAGTTTGAGACCAGCCTGACCAACAAGGTGAAACCCCATCTCTACTAAAAGTACAAAAATTAGCCAAGCATGGTGGTGCACACCTGTAGTCCCAGCTACTCAGGAGGCTGAGACAGAAGAACTGCTTGAACCCGGGAGGCAGAGGTTGCAGTGAGCTGAGGTCACGCCACTGAACTCCAGCCTGGATGATGGAGCGAGACTCCGTCTCAAAAAAAAAAAAAAAAAAGAAAAGAAAAGGAAAAAAATCAATTTAAAGTTAGATGAAACACTGAAAGCCTCTGAACTTTCAATTTTTATATTTGCAGAAATATGAACAAGTGATGAAGGCCATTGAAGCCTGAAAGAAAATAAACACCTTAAGTGAAAATAATTGGTAAATTGACTACATACAAATTAATATTTTGTTTGCCAAAAAACTTGATCGTAAAACCAAATTAGAAACAATGTAAAAACATCTGTAGTATGATGACACATGGCTAACAGCCTGTAGAAAAATTGCAAATTACATTAAAAATTTAATAAAATATAAAAAGATAGTAAATGAAAGCTGCTCAAATTGATTAATAATGAACAATGTGCAAATTAAGACAAGATATAATTTATCGTTCACCAGATTGAAAAAGGTTTAAAAACTTGCTATCCCTGGCCAGGCACAGTGGCTCACACCTGTCACTGCAGAGCTTTGGGCGGCTGAGGTGGGAGGATCTCTAGCTAGAGCCCAGGAGTTCATGACCAGCCTGGGCAACACAGGGAGACCCTGTCTCTACAGATAATAAAAAAAATCAGTCAGACACAGCAGCACACACCTGTACTCTCAGCTACTCAGAAGGCTGAGGTGAAAGGATCGCTGGAGCCCAGAAGTTTGAGACTGTAATGAGCCATGATTTTGCCATTGCATTCCAGTCTCAGTGACAGAGTGAGACACTGTCTCAAAAGAAAACAAAAATGCTATCCCTTTTGGTGATGATGAAAACAAATGGATGCTTGTTTAACAATGTGTTTATAGACCTGAATAGTCATTTCTCCAAAGAAGCCATACAAATGGCCAAGAGGTATATGAAAATGTGCTCAACCTCACTGATCATCAGGAAAATGAAAATCAAAACCACAGTGAGATATATCACCTCACATGTCTATCACAAAGACAAGATAAGCTTTGGCGAGAATGTAGAGAAAGGAAACCCACTGTCAGTATGAAGCCACTATGGAAAATCCTATTGATATTTCTAAGGAAGTTAAAAGTAGTACTACCAGACGATTCAGCAATCCCTCTGCTGGATACACACCCTAAGAAAATAAAATCACCACCTTGGAAAGAT